AGAAACTTTTACTGCTACTAAAAAATGTCTCCTTTATTTAAAACTAATCAATAAAAACTAAACAGTTCTTTTTATGGAAATCGGGGGTAAACTCATCAAAAACTATGAGATGATGTATAGTAGGGTTGAGGTCACTCATAAAAAAGTCTCCACTGTTGCTGGGCAAAAACAACCTATACGACCGGTCCTCCAGTGATAAGACACCAAATGCAAAGGCGGCAAAGGCGGTTTGCCCATGTTGGCGTTGCCACTAATAAAAAGGTGGTGTTATCTCCGCACATCAGTGCTTGTGTCATTAACAAATGCCCTTACATGGTTTAAAGCTGTACCCACCCAACCATGATTAACCTGATGGTTAAGCTTATAGCCACCAAAATGTGGCATACTCTTCAACTTCATCTCTGCATAAACATCATTGTAGTATTTCAAAGAATGCTTGTTCTGAAAGGCAAGAGACGATATAATACTATTTTCTAACCGTTCTTTTTTAAGTCTTCTCTCTTTTTGTTTTCGCTGCCATTAATGTTACAAATAAAATATTGATGAAAGGTCGTCGTCTGTGGGTGTGGAACCAATTATGCTGGCGGCATTTCCTTTCTGTATGGCCATGGCAATTCGTTGTATTAAGTGGCTCCTTGCTTTATGGTCGCCTGTTTAGTCGGATAGTTCAGAGGTTTTGCAGCTGTAAGATAGTGTATTATTTGTTTTTTAATACTTGTTCTGTTGTTATAAAATTAAATATATATCTTTAATATAAATAATTATTTTCAAATTGAAAAATAAATTACTAAGAAACAATTGTAGTTTGTAAATAAATGATTATTATTAAAAAGTAGCAAGAGACAAGTATAGAAGAACAAACATATTATTTAAAAAAAACTTCCTTCCTACTTTGACCCTTTAAACAAAATTTTGAGCACAGCTCCTCGAAGATGATCCTCTTCACAATACTTCGAGACGTTTTTGAAACATTTGTCGCTTCAGCCCTCGATAGCAGGTCTTTTTTTCTGGAAACAAACTTAACATTGAAGTTAAAATTAAGAATTTAGGTACAATAAGGTATGTAAAATTACTTCAATAACATTGCAGTTTTAAGATTACTGTACTAAATAAGTGCTGATTCACTTGACAATTCTTTTTGTTCAATATAACTGTAAAAATGGTTTTGGTTACTTAAAATTTTCAATTTACCTTGTTTATAAACATATTGTAATCAAATTTGAAAAAATGTATTTATTTCATACTAAACTATAAGTATGAGGATTTCATTCAAAAGATAATTTTATTTTATTACATTCTTCGTAGAAAAGTAGGTACTTATTCGTTACACTAATGTATATAAATAGTGGATGAATTTGCTATTGTTGAGAGGTTAATTTTGTTAAAATACAAACATGATCAATGGAAATTTGCTCTGAAGAGAATATTTTTCCCTATAAGTCAATAATAGATTAGGAATTCATATTAAGTTCTTTTGGATGAAATTTATTATTGTGGAATGTAGTGTGATTTTGCAGATTTTTTCGATCGAAATTGATTGGTTGGAATTTCGACAGTGGAAAATCCTTCGCTTCCAACAGCAATACCGATGTTCTTATACATAGATTCATGCTTGAGATTGACTATATTGTGACTGAATTTGTTTCTTTCCTTTGTATTATTTTCTAGTTCAGAATATTGTAATTTTTTCTAGTTCAGAAGTTGGTTTCTGCTGAAGATTTTCGACTGAAGTCGACTGCTGAAGATTTTATCCCTAGAAGCTGATTGGTTAGAATTTCGACAGTATCATTGTGGCATTGAGCGTCCTTATAAGTGTACTGCATGTGGAAAATCCTTCGCTTCCGAAAGCAATACCGATGTTCTTATACATAGATTCATGCTTGAGATTGACCATATTGTGACTGCTGAAGATTTTATCCCTAGAAGCTGATTGGTTAGAATTTCGACAGTATCATTGTGGCATTGAGCGTCCTTATAAGTGTACTGCATGTGGAAAATTCTTCGCTTCCGAAAGCAATACCGATGTTCTTATACATAGATTCATGCTTGAGATTGACCATATTGTGACTGCTGGAGATTTCATCCCTAGAAGCTGGTTGGTTGGAATTTCGACAGTATCATTGTGGCATTGAGCGTCCTAATAAGTGCACTGCATGTGGAAAATCCTTCTCTTCCGAAAGCAATACCGATGTTCTTATACATAGATTCATGCTTGAGATTGACAATATTGTGACGGCTGCAGATTTTTTCCCTAGAAGCTGATTCGTAATAAAATAAATGTAATGTTTTGTAGCCTCTTGTCCCGGTTTAACTTCAAAAGTAGTGGTACTGTGCATGATCCGTGTATTTATCATCTTCATCCTTGAGGGGTGAAGACGTTGGTACTCCCTGCGAGCTTCAGATTTTCCTTGTTATTTTAAGGTTATTTATTTTTGTTTTGTGTCAGTGCTAATATCTTTTACTTTTGCTTTAGAACTTTTCAGCTATGAGCATAGGTAATTTTAAACCCAAACCCCTCAGTTTGTTACAACTTCTATTTACTTACTCCACTCGAATACTTTTTTGACAATGTTGTAAGTTAATTTTTATCCAACATCAGCTTTTTCTCTAATCATTGATTTTGGTAGTTTTATCTGATAGGTATTTTCAAAATGTTTCAATATTACGTCGGTTACATTCTTGTTGTGGATTACACTGTAAGTGTTTGTCTTATCAAGTTTGTAGATTTTACTTTGCAAAGGATTTTGTTGTTTTGGTTTGCCGATAATTTCAAATAGGTGGTCTAATTTTGATTGCTGATCCCATATATTTATTTCTAGGTATATTAAACCGGTAAATAAACCGCACCTACTTACACGAGAAACAAGGTTTGGAATAGTATAAAAAAATTACCTATTAAAAAATTAATTATTAAAAATTAAATTTAAAAATTAAATTAGTTATGTAAGGTTGGGCCATCACCAGCTTTATGTCTCCTCCGACGCCGCCCAACCTCTGGCTGGACTCATCGGTGGTGAGCTGGGCGACGAATCGCCCCAGTAGAGGCGGTTGGACGTCTCCGGCGTCGTCTGTCGGGTTCCCTTTTAAGGAAATTCTCTACTGAAAATGCTAAATCTGCTAATATGCAACTCTTTGTCTTTGGTTATTTTTTATAGTTTCTAGCTTTGATAAAAGTTAATATTTATAGTCAAAAGTTAAAAAATAACCGCACGTTTATTTTTATGGGAGTTTTATGGAAAAAAACTAAGTGTTATCTTTGAATTGATATAACTTAGGTTTTACTGGTTGAATATTCACAATCAAGGTGTTATTTTGTAGGGCACTTAGTCTACTGAAAAGTTAGCAAGAATTATAACTTTATCTGTTTATAAAAAAAGTTTTCATTTCATTATTGTTTTTAAGTGTGATATTGGCATAAATCTTCTTAACTTTTCAGATCTACTAATGAAGAATAGAATACCTAAACAAACTTCAACCCTCTACCTCAAATAGTGTCTGAGATATATAAATTTATATGTTTATAAAACACGAATAATCAAATTTGCGGGAATCGCGCGTTAAAAACCCCTATCCTATTTTCTTATGATAACCAATTTGTTATAAAAAATAAAAATCTGTTATTGAATCTGTTATTGAAATCTGTTATTGAAATAAAATCACTATAAAAGGCGTACAGTTAAATGTTATTAATCAAATAATTATAAAAGGACTCACCATCAATAAATGGATGAAGTTGTTGCCAGGATACCGTAGATATGAAACCATAAAATAATTTTATGTTAAAATACAATACAAATGAAAAACACAAATTACATAAAAAAGAAAAAAACACACTTATCCTACTATATACATCACTGAGTTTTCCTAAGTCGCTTTTTATCAAAGCGTTTTGCTATTTTAGTAGTTGCTACTCCAGGACCAATCCCACTTTTGTCTTGAATGGTGCAAATAGATTTATTTACACCAGTGTTATACTGGCACACAGCCTCACAAACACAAATTTCAAGTTTTCCCCTTGATTCAAAACTTGTTTTAGGGCACTTTGACCAGATAACCCCATGTAGAGCTTCGTTGGCGTTTTGTGTTTGGCCTGAAACACACTTTTCCAATAAGGCATCCGAAGCTAACCTTTGGTGCATAGGCATTATTTTCATAGCTACCTTTATGGCTACCAGACGGCCAATGGTGAGAAGAAACTACGCTTAGCGGTCGCAGAGCCGGTTCCGCTGGTCTACTGTGAGATGTAGGTTCATGAACGCATTCCCCCTGGCCGAGGTAGACGTGACGACCAAGTCGGCAAGCCAATCACGGTCACGGTTACCCAACTCCCTAGGCTGGGATTCACTAGTGGTCGTTGCTCTAAGCTGGGATTCACTAGTGGTCGTTGCTCTAGGCTGGGATTCACTAGTGATTGTTGCTATAAGCTGGGATTCACTAGTGGTCGTTGCTCTAGGCTGGGATTCACTAGTGATCGTTGCTCTAGGCTGGGATTCACTAGTGATCGTTGCTCTAAGCTGGGATTCACTAGTGGTCGTTGCTCTAAGCTGGGATTCACTAGTGGTCGTTGCTCTAGGCTGGGATTCACTAGTGATTGTTGCTATAAGCTGGGATTCACTAGTGGTCGTTGCTCTAGGCTGGTATTCACTAGTGGTCGTAGCTCTAGGCTGGGATTCACTAGTGATCGTTGCTCTAGGCTGGGATTCACTAGTGATCGTTGCTCTAGGCTGGGATTCACTAGTGATCGTTGCTCTAGGCTGGGATTCACTAGTGATCGTTGCTCTAGGCTGGGATTCACTAGTGATCGTTGCTCTAGGCTATGATTCACTAGTGATCGTTGCTCTAAGCTGGGATTCACTAGTGATCGTTGCTCTAAGCTGGGATTCACTAGTGATCGTTGCTCTAGGCTGGGATTCACTAGTGATCGTTGCTCTAGGCTGGGATTCACTAGTGATCGTTGCTCTGAGCTGGGATTCACTAGTGATCGTTGCTCTAAGCTGGGATTAACTAGTGATCGTTGCTCTAAGCTGGGATTCACTAGTGGTCGTTGCTCTAGGCTGGGATTCACTAGTGGTCGTTGCTCTAGGCTGGGATTCACTAGTGGTCGTTGCTCTAGGCTGGGATTCACTAGTGATCGTTGCTCTAGGCTGGGATTCACTAGTGGTCGTTGCTCTAGGCTGGGATTCACTAGTGATCGTTGCTCTAGGCTGGGATTCACTAGTGATCGTTGCTCTAAGCTGGGATTCACTAGTGATCGTTGCTCTAAGCTGGGATTCACTAGTGATCGTTGGTCTAAGCTGGGATTCACTAGTGATCGTTGCTCTAGGCTGGGATTCACTAGTGATCGTTGCTCTAGGCTGGGATTCACTAGTGATCGTTGCTCTAGGCTGGGATTCACTAGTGATCGTTGCTCTGAGCTGGGAATCACTAGTGATCGTTGCTCTAAGCTGGGATTCACTAGTGATCGTTGCTCTAAGCTGGGATTCACTAGTGGTCGTTGCTCTAGGCTGGGATTCACTAGTGGTCGTTGCTCTAGGCTGGGATTCACTAGTGGTCGTTGCTCTAGGCTGGGATTCACTAGTGATCGTTGCTCTAGGCTGGGATTCACTAGTGATCGTTGCTCTAGGCTGGGATTCACTAGTGATCGTTGATCTAAGCTGGGATTCACTAGTGGTCGTTGCTCTAAGCTGGGATTCACTAGTGGTCGTTGCTCTAAGCTGGGATTCACTAGTGGTCGTTGCTCCAGGCTGGGATTCACTAGTGATTGTTGCTCTAAGCTGGGATTCACTAGTGATTGTTGCTCTAAGCTGGGATTCACTAGTGGTCGTTGCTCTAGGCTGGGATTCACTAGTGATCGTTGCTCTAGGCTGGGATTCACTAGTGATCGTTGCTCTAAGCTGGGATTCACTAGTGGTCGTTGCTCTAAGCTGGGATTCACTAGTGGTCGTTGCTCTAGGCTGGGATTCACTAGTGATTGTTGCTATAAGCTGGGATTCACTAGTGATCGTTGCTCTAGGCTGGGATTCACTAGTGATCGTTGCTCTAAGCTGGGATTCACTAGTGATCGTTGCTCTAAGCTGGGATTCACTAGTGATCGTTGCTCTAGGCTGGGATTCACTAGTGATCGTTGCTCTAGGCTGGGATTCACTAGTGATCGTTGCTCTAAGCTGGGATTCACTAGTGATCGTTGCTCTAGGCTGGGATTCACTAGTGATCGTTGCTCTAAGCTGGGATTCACTAGTGATCGTTGCTCTAAGCTGGGATTCACTAGTGATCGTTGCTCTAAGCTGGGATTCACTAGTGATCGTTGCTCTAGGCTGGGATTCACTAGTGATCGTTGCTCGGCTGGGATTCACTAGTGATTGTTGCTCTAAGCTGGGATTCACTAGTGGTCGTTGCTCTAGGCTGGGATTCACTAGTGATCGTTGCTCTAGGCTGGGATTCACTAGTGGTCGTTGCTCTAGGCTGGGATTCACTAGTGGTCGTTGCTCTAGGCTGGGATTCACCAGTGGTCGTTGCTCTAGGCTGGGATTCACTAGTGGTCGTTGCTCTAGGCTGGGATTCACTAGTGGTCGTTGCTCTAGGCTGGGATTCACTAGTGGTCGTGTGATCGTTGGTCTAAGCTGGGATTCACTAGTGATCGTTGCTCTAGGCTGGGATTCACTAGTGATCGTTGCTCTAGGCTGGGATTCACTAGTGATCGTTGCTCTAGGCTGGGATTCACTAGTGATCGTTGCTCTGAGCTGGGAATCACTAGTGATCGTTGCTCTAAGCTGGGATTCACTAGTGATCGTTGCTCTAAGCTGGGATTCACTAGTGGTCGTTGCTCTAGGCTGGGATTCACTAGTGGTCGTTGCTCTAGGCTGGGATTCACTAGTGGTCGTTGCTCTAGGCTGGGATTCACTAGTGGTCGTTGCTCTAGGCTGGGATTCACTAGTGATCGTTGCTCTAGGCTGGGATTCACTAGTGATCGTTGCTCTAGGCTGGGATTCACTAGTGATCGTTGCTCTAGGCTGGGATTCACTAGTGATCGTTGATCTAAGCTGGGATTCACTAGTGGTCGTTGCTCTAAGCTGGGATTCACTAGTGGTCGTTGCTCCAGGCTGGGATTCACTAGTGATTGTTGCTCTAAGCTGGGATTCACTAGTGATTGTTGCTCTAAGCTGGGATTCACTAGTGGTCGTTGCTTTAGGCTGGGATTCACTAGTGGTCGTTGCTCTAGGCTGGGATTCACTAGTGGTCGTAGCTCTAAGCTGGGATTCACTAGTGGTCGTTGCTCTAAGCTGGGATTCACTAGTGGTCGTTGCTCCAGGCTGGGATTCACTAGTGATTGTTGCTCTAAGCTGGGATTCACTAGTGATTGTTGCTCTAAGCTGGGATTCACTAGTGGTCGTTGCTCTAGGCTGGGATTCACTAGTGGTCGTTGCTCTAGGCTGGTATTCACTAGTGGTCGTAGCTCTAGGCTGGGATACACTAGTGGTCGTAGCTCTAGGCTGGGATTCACTAGTGGTCGTAGCTCTAGGCTGGGATTCACTAGTGATCGTTGCTCTAGGCTGGGATTCACTAGTGATCGTTGCTCTAGGCTGGGATTCACTAGTGGTCGTTGCTCTAGGCTGGGATTCACTAGTGATCGTTGCTCTAGGCTGGGATTCACTAGTGATCGTTGCTCTAGGCTGGGATTCACTAGTGATCGTTGATCTAAGCTGGGATTCACTAGTGGTCGTTGCTCTAAGCTGGGATTCACTAGTGGTCGTTGCTCTAAGCTGGGATTCACTAGTGGTCGTTGCTCCAGGCTGGGTTTCACTAGTGATCGTTGCTCTAAGCTGGGATTCACTAGTGATTGTTGCTCTAAGCTGGGATTCACTAGTGATTGTTGCTCTAAGCTGGGATTCACTAGTGGTCGTTGCTCTAGGCTGGGATTCACTAGTGGTCGTTGCTCTAGGCTGGGATTCACTAGTGGTCGTTGCTCTAGGCTGGGATTCACTAGTGGTCGTAGCTCTAGGCTGGGATTCACTAGTGGTCGTTGCTCTAGGCTGGGATTCACTAGTGGTCGTTGCTCTAGGCTGGGATTCACTAGTGGTCGTTGCTCTAGGCTGGGATTCACTAGTGGTCGTTGCTCTAGGCTGGGATTCACTAGTGGTCGTAGCTCTAGGCTGGGATTCACTAGTGGTCGTAGCTCTAGGCTGGGATTCACTAGTGGTCGTAGCTCTAGGCTGGGATTCACTAGTGATCGTTGCTCTAGGCTGGAATTCACTAGTGATCTTTGCTCTAGGCTTACTAGTGATTGTTGCTCTAAGCTCGGATTCACTAGTGATTCCGAATGAATAAAGCAATGCCTCAATAACGACAAAACGAAAAAACGATCGGGTTGCTGATTCTTTGGATTAGACCTATTGTCAGTAAATTATTTGTGTACTTAATTTCTTCATTCTGTGAGAACTATAAAATTTGATATTTAACTACTAGCGATATCATTTCATTAGTAATACGTAACTACAAGTTAAAACACTAATTAGAAACCAGAATGAAAAACGAGTTTGCTTTAATGAAATTTGCCAATAGGCTTCTTAAATTAAAAGATTGTTTCAACGATAAATCTCCAAACTATAACCAAGAATCGAGGATCGTGAAGATTATAGCTGATGAGCAAAACCTACGACCAGATGCTATTATAAAAACTATCAATTATTTGAAATATATATATCTCCAAGAAAAAGGGAGAGTGTTGAATTAAAGCAATTACATACCAAACAAAGCTCGGTTTACAACAGCAGATCAGTTGTTTATTAAACTGAAGGAGGAAAATTAAAACTCCCGCTGAAGTGATCGATGTTGATGATGATGGTGAAATTAATCCCGCAGATATGCCCACTTAGCCGAATATCAGCTGAGTACCAGATCACAAGGGCAAGCAAGTGGTCTGTGGTGATGATGAAGAAGATAAACAAAAAGTGAGCAGTGAACTGGATGCGTTTGGATTAAATTTGATCCACCTAATGGCCAAGTCGCCCAGTGATGAGTGTGAGCTTTTCAATATCAGTTTATAATGAAAAAAACTGGTGTCAACAAGTATCATAGAAAACGGGGAAGAAGCATCATCAATGAACCATAAATCAATGCCTCAACAACAACAAAAACTAAAAAATGATTGCGTTGTTGATTCTTTAGATTAGACCTACTGTCAGTAAATTATTTGTATACTTAAAATCTTCATTCTGTGAGAACTACAAAGTTTGATATTTAACTACTAGCAATATCATTATTTGATTAGTTATACGTAACGTAAAGATTAGACCTACTGTCAGTAAATTATTTGTGTACTTAAAATCTTTATTCTGTGAGAGCTACACAGTTTGATTTTTAACTACTAGCGATATCATTATTTCATTAGTTATACGTAACTACAAGTTAAAACACTAACCAGAAACCAGAATAAAAAACGAGTTTGCTTTAAAGAAGTTTGCCGATAGGCTTCTTCTATTAAAAGATTGTTTCAACGATAAATCTTCAAACTGTAACCGAGAGTCGAGGATCCTGAAGATTATAGCTGATGAGCAAAGCCTACGACCAGATGCTATTGTAAAAAAGATCAATTATTTGAAAAATATATATATACATCCAAGAAAAAGGGAGAGTGTTGTTAACTGATGATTGTTACAAAATTATTGTTAACTATTCATTTATTTAGGGTTCATACTGTAGGTTAGTATTATATTTTATTAGTTTATTAATTATAATTTTTGAATTTTAATTTAATATGCTGTTTGGTAATTTTACAATAAACTTGCATGGACATTGTTCATGGACATACTTGATACTTCAACAAACAATAAATATTAAATCACTTCAGAGCTTCTCATCTGATTCTGTTGATACAACCTGGAGCTTTTCATGTTTCTGCTCCAGGCATGCAAGATTCGCTTCAACCTGTTTAACCTCAGCATAGAGCTGTTCAACAGTGGTGCCTGGTGGAATTACAGTATTCGACATCTTTGAGACCTGTGAATTATAAAACACTGAGGTATCATTTTCAGTCCCATACATCTTTAGGTAACGGTTCCTTATCGCCAATGAATTTACGACGCCTACCATCGATATAAGTGTAACTACCGGTATACAAATTATAAGCAAAGTACTCAAAACATGCATCACCTACTTTAGAATACATGGTAGCAGAGCGTGGTTGGTAATCGCACATATCTGAGGTGTGCGATTGTCACCCTGCAGATTCTCCAGAGTCCCATTTCCATATTCAATTGAGATCCGACGCGCAACTGAAAATGGAATAGAGAGTTTTTGTACCTGGAACTCCATGACTTCTTGCGGAGTTAGGATTTTCTTACACCACGGAGCCATAATTCCAATCGACTCATACTTATTCTGAGCCGCTTGAATCGCTGGGAGGTACTTGGCCAGCTCATTCCAGCCCCACAGGTCTGGATTAAGGACCGAGATCCAGCTTGAAATGATATAGAAACTAGACAACTCGGCGAATCGTAATAAGTTCACGGTGATTTCAAGCCCTTTGGCTAGTAGATCGTTAGATTTTGAGAGTGCGTAGATGTTGAGGAAGAGGAGACGGCGGATTTGAAAATAAATCTTTATACGTCATCTCGGCCACAGATCTAGACACCGTTAGATCGTCTAAGATGGGATCATCTTTGGCCAATCCTAGGGGGGAACTGTATGTCTGTCTACGGCGTTTCACCCAGAAGGTGTAGTTGTTGGAGCCTAATTGCTTCCCCAACATGTTTGAGTATAGTGCAATTGCGTTGCTTTAAGCTGGGATTCACTTACTAGTGATCGTTGCTTTAAGCTGGGATTCACTTACTAGTGATCGTTGCTTTAAGCTGGGATTCACTAGTGATCGTTGCTTTAAGCTGGGATTCACTAGTGATCGTTGCTTTAAGCTTGGATTCACTAGTGATCGTTGCTTTAAGCTTGGATTCACTAGTGATCGTTGCTTTAAGCTTGGATTCACTAGTGATCGTTGCTTTAAGCTGGGATTCACTTACTAGTGATCGTTGCTTTAAGCTGGGATTCACTAGTGATCGTTGCTTTAAGCTTGGATTCACTAGTGATCGTTGCTTTAAGCTTGGATTCACTAGTGATCGTTGCTTTAAGCTTGGATTCACTAGTGATCGTTGCTTTAAGCTTGGATTCACTAGTGATTGTTGCTCTAAGCTGGGATTCACTAGTGATCGTTGCTGTTCTTATAGGAATTTCGCAGTGTTAAAGTATTCTTGGTCCTATTATATCCAGATGTACATTCGTTTGCGGCATTTCATAAAACTTCTCTTGAGTGGCTTTCGTGTGTTCCATCAATTTGGGTATATGTTGTTTTAATGTTTTATCTGTTTGTGTGACTGTTGCCCAATAGTGGTGAATGCCGTTGACGGTGAAATGGTTGGGTTTTTTTTTACTGTAACTGTATTTTTGAAGCTGATAAGAATCGAGGTACCATTTGAGAGAACATTCAATATTTCTCTCAATTTGATTATTGTCTCAATTGCAGTCAACGCTAATCCTGGAGCTAAAACTGGGACGTTCACGTTGTTTTTCGTTGCAAACACCATAAAAACTCCCATATTGCCGTTTTATGCTCATCCGTACACTTTCAACATTTCGTAATTGTCCATAGTTGCATATACAACTTCACTTGGACGTCTAGCATTAAATGCAATCAAATATGCGAGAGTCGATTTACAAGTGAGTCGTAAGCTTTGGAGCGTGTGCTGTTTTCTTAACGAGCAATGTTATTTTCTATAGTAACATCCATAGCACTGAAAGAAGATTCCATATCTTCTTTAGGGGGCATTTTGTCTTCTTTATTTATTTTAACGATTTTCACACATTTGTCCGCAATCGAGGTTAGCTCTACCGGCCAATCACTATGCCCACAGACTATGCTAGGCCTGTTTGGTTAAAAGTATTTCTTGATCTCTTTATAATCATATGTCATGTGATTATTGTTATTGTTTACATTTGAATTATTTACAAGTTGTACACAGATTGAGTTCAGTAATAAAGATACTTTTGTTAAATATGGAAATTAGTAAATTCTATTAAACATGGCGCAGTCAAGAATAATGAGTAATTAAGGGAATTCAAAAAGAAAGGAATATGAATATGGATTTTAATCAGCCAGAAGAGTTGAATGTTGTTAATGGTAATATTGCCACAAATTATAAGAAGTTTAAAGAAGACATATTAATATACTTTGAAGCAACTGAAACAGACAAAAAGTCAAACAAAGTACAAGTTGCAAGATTGAAGAACCTTTTAGGGGCTGAAGCTTTAAAGCTTTACAACACACTGAAGAGAGATGCAGAAAATGAGGATGAAACAGTCTTAAGTATCTTAAACACGTTGGAAAAACACTGTGTTCCTAAAAAGAATGAGACTATGGCAATACATCGTTTCTTAACCCGTAAACAGAGAGATGGGGAAAGTTTTGATAAATATTTGATTGATTTAAAGTCACTTGTAAGCCCTTGCGAATTTAGAGATCAAGAAGATAAACTCCTACGGTCCCAAATCATAGTTGGAATTTCCTCTGCGAGTGTTAAAGAACGCCTTCTAAGAGACAATGTTCCTCTAGAAAAAGTAATTGATTACTGCAGATGCGTAGAAACAGCAGAAGAAAACTTGAAGCAATTAATGAAAAATGATCAGCCAACCTATATTTATGACGTTACTATTAACAAGACTCAAAAACAACAGACGAATAAGCAAAATTACAGCCAAGCGACAAATGGTAATTCCTCAATGATCAGGCCTAGAGCTTATGATAATGAGGGTGCAAAATGTGGATATTTTCACAAAGGCCAACCTTGTCCTGCACAAAATAAAGTATGCTTAAAATGTCAAAAACCCAATCACTTTGCTAAAGTGTGCAAGACAAAAATTTTCAATAGCCATGAATTAGAATCTACTGCTCGAATTGATGAGACACAGTCAGGGTGGATGCTTAACGATGAAGTGGGAGCTATAGTCAATGTTAACAGGATCAAAGCAAGTCACTGGACAGTAACATTAAATATAAATTCAAAGAAGATCGTATTTAAGATTGACACTGGTGCAGATGTTAATATTCTTTCCACCAAAGATCTTGATAGCTTATCTCTACCTAAGTGTTTTGAGGTTCAACCATCAAGAACCAAGCTTGAGGCTTTTTTTAGGCTCAAAATAAACACAGTGGGGGAAGTAACACTGCCAGTTACAGTGGCTTCTAAATTGTACAACATTACATTTATTGTGGTTGATTCTGAAAAGGCAACGAAAATAATAGGACTTAATTCATCTATTGCAATGGGCCTCATCAAGAGAATATCTATTGATGCAGTAAGCAAAATACCCGACGTACAAACGCTAGTTGAAGAAAATAAAGATGTATTTGTAAACCAAGGTTGTTTTCCTGAAGTACTGAAACTGAAACTTAAGGAAGGGGCTGTTCCAAGAAGTTCACCTACCCGTAGAATACCTAACCAATTAATGGATCGTCTCAAGCAGAAGCTGGATTCTTTGTTATCAAGAAACATAATTGAGAAATGTGAATCTGGAGAATGGGTACACAACCTTGTTATAGTGGAAAAACATAAAACTGGAGATTTGAGAGTTTGTCTAGACCCAAAGGAATTGAATAACAGTTTGATTCGAGACTATGTTTTAATCCCAACTCTTGATAAAATAACCACCAAGTTGGCTAAGAAAAAATACTTCTGTGTGTTTGATTTGAAAGATGGGTTCCATCAGGTTCCCTTGGATCCAGAGTCTTCAAAACTGTGTACATTTAGCACTCCGTTTGGCTTTTATCGTTATTTACGAGCACTATTTGGTCTATCAGTTCTTCCAGAGTACTTTCATGAAACAACATCAAAGTTTTTCAGTGACGTTAAGGGGGTTGTAGTGTACTTTGACGATATACTGTGTGCAGCAGAAACAAAAGAAGAGTTGTACAAAATTGTACTTGAAGTTATGAAGGTGGCAAGGAAAAACCACATTCAACTGAATAAGGATAAAATCCAACACTTTGTTGAAAAATTGCGATTTGTAGGACAAGAATTTGATTGTAATGGTGTTAAGCCTGACTATGAAAGAATCAGAGCTATTAATGAACTGGAAATACCTAAGAATAAGACAGAACTTCAACGAATTTTAGGCACTGTGAATTATCTTAGGCCTTTCATTCCTAACTTAGCAGAGCACTGCTCATTCTTTCAAGAGTTGTTGAAAAAGAATGTAATTTTTCAGTGGACCCCCGAACACAGTCGCCATTTGGACGAACTGAAGGAAACTATTACAGCGGCTGCTTTACTTAGTCCCTTTGATTTTGACTCTCCAATAACTATTCAAGCAGATGCAAGTAACTATTCTCTTGGTTGTTCCTTGTCCCAAAATGGGAAGCCTGTTATGTTTGGATCCAGGTCACTTACTGAAAGTGAAAAGAACTACGCACAGATTGAGAAAGAACTACTTGCAATTGTATATGCTTTTGAAAAGTTTCATAACTTAGCCTATGGACACTTCAGCATTGAAGTACAAACTGACCATTCTCCTTTGCTATCAATTTTCAATATGCAAATTCATCAAATAAAGAACAATCGTTTAAGAAGGTTGCGGCTGAAGTTACTTAAGTACTCATTCAGTGTGAATTTTGTTCCAGGAAATAAACTATATGTTGCAGATCTTCTTTCAAGACAGTGTGCTCCTACAAAATCACAAGAAGATGAAAGTATGTTGGATGTTGTACACTCAGTTCATGAAGTTACAATAAATGTAAAAACAATGGATCAGTACATAAAATCTACAAATGACGACGAATCCTTATACGAAGTTATGCGGTTTTATCAAGAAGGTTGGCCCAGCAAAGTTTCGCCGAATAACTATGATGAACTAATGCATTATTTTAGAATACGAAATGGTCTAACAGTTCAAGATGGACTAGTGTATTTTAACGAAAGGTTGATAGTGCCACCATCTATGGGAAGGTATACTTTACAGACACTCCATGAAACTCACTTGGGATTCAACAAGTTAAAGAAGAAAGCTCAAGAACTTGTTTACTGGCCTGGATTAATTTCAGATTTGAAAAATCTTATTGACAGCTGTGCTACTTGCGCTAAGTTTATGCGCGAGCAAAATTGAAAGAGCCCCTCAACCTCATGAAGTTTTTGACATGCCTTTTTACAAGGTAGCAGCAGACATAGCCGATTTCGACAATCAAAGTTATTTAGTGTTAATAGATTATTATGGATTGAAGTTGAGCGTATCCGAGATAAAAAAAAGCAACAGCTGTCATTGCTGCATTGAAGCCAATTTTTGCTCGTTTTGGAATACCAAGTATTTTTTGTAAGTGACAACGTCCCATTCAACTCTCAAGAATTGACTTCAGTAAATTGTGGAAGTTTGAAGTAAAGTTTACTAGTCCCCATTATCCTCGCAGTAATGGACTCGCGGAGAAAGCAGTAGGCATAGTTAAGTCAATGTTGCAAAAGTCAAAGCATGATAAGCCAGACTTCAGTTTATATCTTCTAAATTATCGGTCATCTCCAGTTGCGAATCTTAGGTATTCTCCTTCGCAACTACTTCAAAGTAGAGTTCTGAACACTAAGTTACCTGTAATAACATCAAAACTTAAACCACAGATAATTGATGATAAAGAAGTGACCAGTAAACTTGGCCAGAGTTTGATGTATGATAAAATAGCACTAAAGAAAGCCACTGTTTTCATGAAGGGGCAAAAAGTGT